CCTGAGAGACACCGTAGAAACTCCTTTGTGTTTGGAAGCAGGGGGTGGGGGTGGGGGGAGGACCAGGGAGGATGATTCAACCACTCAACCACTAGATGTCACTGAAAAGAACAAATCCTACACACTGTGCCTTTAAGTAATAAATGATTCAATTATGCCAAGGCAAAACAAAAACATTGATCCATACTGTCATCATATGCCCAATGTGGAATGATATCATGAACCAATCTAACACAGTGGTTTACTAAATGATTGTGTTAGATGTGCATATAATGTTGCATCTTATTGAACACAGACTTTGAACTGAATCATAATCATATCATGACAGACTTTGTGATACTGAGAAATGTCATCCAAACAAATTGATATAACATTGTATTCTGATTACCTRCACAATATATTGAAAACTTATTGGCATTACAATAACAGCCTGTGCAATAGGTAGATCAATTTTTTTTTATCATTAATTTACAAAAAACTGATAGTAAGGGGCATTTTTTGTGAAAGCAGGAGGTTATTTGTGTAAAACTGGCCAAAAAGGATCCTGCAGGTTTATCTGTCTCCCTGCTGAATTGTTTCTGAGTGTTTTAAGTAAATAATMTCTGTTTTGTCTCACTGGTGTTTAGTTCCACACTCACCAGTGGAGACCAGTCAGGCTTCATTCTCTGCTCCTCTTTGAACAGCCTGCAGGTTTAATATGAGGTCACTTTGTGGTGTGTGTAGCAGTGTGTTGCTAATGCAGCAGTGGACCATTGTGTCTGTCCTGCTTCCTTCTGTGCTGTTTGCTCTGCTTGGCAGAACAGACTCCAGCTCTTTTCCATCCTTTTTATCTGGTAGCAGGAATACCCCAGCACTCGGCTGTCCTATTTATTCCATCTACGCCTCAGGGGACACACATGAGTAGGGAGCGTTCCCTGGATTTAGCTCAAGCATTATGCTGTGCTGAGCTGGACCAGATCAGACCAATCCAAACATGCTGCCACCTCCAGGATTGGTGCTGTGCTTAAATCCACTAATCAGGTTGTGTTTAATCTTTATTTAGTCACAATGTTGTGTCTGTATGAGTGTTTGTCCAATGATAACATCTGTTAGAAACTCATTGTCCTCTCTTCTCACAGTCTGCTCTGTCATCACTATCATCTGAACCAGATGTGGGCGTAAACATTGACCAAGTTTATCATTAGCAGTAGAACATGAATACAWAGTGTTTGTGTSAGWCATTTGCAATGTTGATATTGGATTCACACATTTTGTGATGACTATTGATTTGTAATATATGATACAACTCTAACCTACATTGAGCATTGGAGAGGAGGGTCCATCGGATAGTCGAATTTCAGACTCAGGTAGAGCAGTGTGGTTTCCGTCCTGGTTGTGGAACAGCGGACCAGCTCTACACCCTCAGCAGGTCCTGGAGGGTGCATGACAGTTTGCCCAACCAGTCTACTTGTGTTTTGTGGACTTGGAGAAGGTGTTCAATTGTGTCCCTCTGGGACTCCTGTGGGGGGTCCTCCGGGAGTATGGGGTACCAGGCCCATTAATACAGGCTGTTAGGTCCCTGTGCGATCTGTGCCAGAGCTTGGCCCACATTGCTGGTAGTAAGTCGGACTCATTTCCAGTGAGAGTTGGACTTCGCCAAGGTTGCCCTTTGTCAYCGATTCTATTCATAACTTTAATGGACAGAATTTCCAGGTGCAGCCAAGGTGTTGAGGGGATCCTTTTTGGTGACCTTAGGATCACATCTCTGCTTTTTTACTGATGATGTGGTCCTATTGGCTTCATCAGATCTTGATCTCCAGCTCTCACTGGAGCAGTTCACAACAGAGTGTGAAGCGGCCGGGATGAGGATCAGTGCCTCCAAATCCGAGACCATGGTCTTGAGCCGGAAAAGGGTAGAGTGCCTCTGGATCATGGAGCAGGTCCTGCCCCAAGTGGAGGAGTTTAAGTATCTTAGAGTCTTATGCACGGATAAAGGAAGAACTCACCTGYCTGCAGTCAGCCCAGGTGTCTCCACTTCCCACTCAGCTCAGCTCTTTATATTCTGTCTCCTGCATCATCATCTCAGCAGCTCATTGTTTTGTCTTCCTGCTGTATGTTCCGGTCTCCTATCTGTGTTCTTCTGAGTTTTGTAAGTTTTGCTGCCACATCAGCCTTTTGTTYTTGTTTTGTTTTGTTTATAAAGCATTTTAGGTTTCCTTTTGAGCTTTTCCAGTTGTCTGCATTTTGGGTTCATCTGTTGGCAGGTTGATGAGAGCATGTTGTGTGAGACCACAGAGGAGCAGATGGATGAAAACCTGCATGTTAATCAGCAGCAGTGGCTGACCTGCCAGTTCATTCTGCTGGTTCTCTGTGCGGAGAACACAGATGTAAAGAGTGATGCTGAACTCGCCTCAGATCCTCTGAGAGAGGGGGAACACTGTGGTGTTTAGTTGGTCAGCTGGCAGCACTTGGGTTCTGGCACTTCTCCAGTTATCCTGATGAGGACAAGCTCTGTCRCGACGCTTTACATCACAAATAAGTATTTTAATTCATTTTTCCTAGCATTTAAAYTGCCGGTAAAGAGAGATAAATGTGTTAACTGTGAATCATTCATAGCCTACTTAATAAGTTAGATAAATTAGCCTTGAGTATATTTAAATTTACAAAAACCCACCGTTTGTTGTWGTTCAACCAATAAACTTACTGCACTCAAAACAAAAACTACATCCCTGAATAAATATTGAGTTCCATTTTTTGTTCTGTAACTGTAGTCAGTACAGCTTGGTTCAGACAATGAATTTGGGGCGGCTGTGGTAGAATGGTTAGGGGAGCCGTCCTGGAACCGGAAGGTCACTGGTTTGATCCCCGTCCAGACGACTCAGTCGTTGTGTCCTTGGGCAAGACACCTTACCCGCCTTGCCTACTGATGGTGGTCAGAGGGTCTGGTGGCGCCTGTGTATGGCAGCCTCGCCTCTGTCAGTGTGCCCCAGGGCAGCTGTGGCTACAATGTACTTTGCCATCATCAGTGTGAATGGGTGAATGTCTGCAGTGTGAAGCACTTTGAGTGTCCTGGATGGATAGAAAGGCGCTATATAAGTTCAGTCCATTTACCATTTACCAGAATCTTGTGATCTACATGTTGAACGATGGACTTCCTTTGTTTCTTGCAAGAATCTGTACTCTATGGCTCCGGGACCCCATGTGGCTCACTTTTTCCTCTTCAGCAGCGCTTTGTGGCTTAGATCTGTATCCTGCTGGACCTCTGTCATACCACCACTTATTTCACATTTAATGACAGTTGTTAAGGACAGAGGCCTGGTTGTGCCATGGGATCTCCAGTGTCACTGGATGGAGGCAGAAGAAAAGGGAGCCCTGGACACCAAGCCAGATATGTGGACAATAACTGGGTCAAAATTCAAGCTAAAGAAGCTTTCTGCTTTCTTTTGGGCTGCATGAAAACCCTCAGTCTGCAGCAGGAGGAAGATCTTTTCAATAGAAGGGAATGTTGAGAAACCCTCTGACTGAAATAACTTCTTCAACTGTTTCAGTTGTAGGTTATACAGTCAATCCACTTTCTTTCATTGATTCTAACACARCAAACTCTGCTGTTTGGTTTTTATTGAATTTACCTTGCATTAAGTTGTTTATTAGTAACATATTTGGTGGTACTGTATATGTAGGTAATTGTCATCGTGCATTGTTCTTGAATTTGAGGAAATTGGTTCTAGAACCAAGGTGTAGGAACCCTGAGCAGGGCAGTGTGAGTAAGAGCAGGGGCAATATTTGTGGATAACAACTTAAACAATATTGTCTTATCTTAAACATATGTATCTCATAGTATATTGTTAAAAATCTTGATATGTTGTCCAGTTCTAATAGTTCATTATTTTCTATCTGGCAACCTACAGTAGATTAGTACACACAATTCATTCATGCTTATTCTCCACAGTAAATACTGAAAAATCACAAATGTTTCTAGAGAAAGTTAACTTGTAAACAGCCTAAGACCCAAACTGTACTAGCCTATAAAAACAGAAACCTAGGACCTACACTAAACTGAGTCTAAGTATCATCTGACAGTTTGCTAGAAGATGTGAATGTAGTGTTGCTAAGTATCCCTGCTGACACAATCACAGACACTAATAAGCTGCTGTACTCCACAGCAACAGTGATCTTTGAAACCAAGTAGCTTTAAGATCAAGACTACCACTAATAAATAGCTACATATACAGAGAGGTTGGAAACTTTGATTATTACATAAGTAGAATGCATGTTTGATGATAAACAATTTTTTTAAATTCACCTAAACTAAAGCACATTCAAACCTTTCTGTAGAAATCCTTCAGCTCTTTATCTCAATCTAATTTTGAAWATCTGTGATAAAAGTAAATAAAAGTTATAACTTTTTACAGCTGATCCATCAGAAAGACAGAATCTGACTGTCAGCTGTCAGAAAAACAGAGATTAACAAATAACACCTTGTGATGTTTTAGTTTCAGGAAAATAGAATCCTTTCTGACAGTAGTTGCATTTTTTTTCCTGCCTTTAATTTGAAAACAAGTTCTTAGATTGGACTGATTTGAATTTCACTGGGGTGGATTTAATTACAGCTGTTGTTCCCATATTTTTACTAAAGGCTGTAAGAACTCCCAAATATAAGAGTGTGTCTGGACAGACTGGTAAATTATTCATGGTATGTTGTGTTTTTTCTTCTTCTGTTTAGAGCAGCGATGAGGGAAATGTGGACAAGAACAAATGCTGCACATTGTGTAACATGTCCTTCACCTCAGCAGTCGTGGCACAGTCTCACTACCAGGGCAAAATCCACGCCAAGAGGATCAAACTGCTCCTGGGAGARCAGCCTGCAGACATAACTCAAGGTACAGCCAAACGTTCACATTCATCCTGAATAAAAGTGATGGAGCTACAGATGTGGTCACGCTGTAATCTATTATTCAGGGTGAAAACAATTCAGGAATGAGAAGCTGTGTCRCTCTCAGAGGTCTCTAGTGTTAGSCAGAAATATGATGCATGATAAGACTGATCAGGGGTCGGAGGAGTTCATCCAGGTGTATGCAAGGGTGGAAAACCCATTTTTATTACTGGGGTGAACAGTAAACAGGGAGCAGTGTTTTGAGGGGTGCATAGGGTGTACGGTGAGTGGGGATTGATAAAGAACCCATATGAGTGGGGGTCTCGTAAGTGGGCCCATTGCTCTCCCCAAAAATACACTGGTCTTTATTCAAACTTTTGCATCCCTCAGATGAAGGACACAAGGTTAGAAATACTCAGTGTTCTGAGCTTCTCAGAATCCATAAAGGGGTCCCCAAGAATTATTTGACTGCTCAGAGCCAAGCATTGGTCTAAGTAGTGCAAAGAGGTCTCTAATCCAATGCTACAGGCATCACACAGACCATTGTCATGGAGTCCCATCACCTTTTAATGGTGGTTGAGCAGATTATGCTCAGTTAGGACTCCAACCAGTGTACTTAGAGTTTTTCTTGTCAGGGTGATGAGAGCTTTCCCAAACCTAARATTTGGGCCGATTATCAGTTCCTGTTACTATGTACAGTCCGTCAGCTCCCTCCAGAGGATTGAGTGTTGATGTCTTCATCTAGGCCCAGGGGTGCATAAAGTAAAGTCAGATTTACTGATACTGTAAAATAAACATTCATTACCATGTTTGCCAAGTAGACCATACACTGCCTGCAGCACATTCCCAGTGTGTGGTTATTTCCTGTTTCTTTATAGCCTGACCCTTGCTCAAATAMATYCAAATTCAAATAATTTGATTGGTTTTCTTCTTTTGATTGACACTTCTTTTGACCAACTGGGTTCATCTATAGACTCTACAGAGCGCAAAATGTGTGGCAAGTCCCTCATGTCCGACATGTACATGTGATTGATTGACTACGATCGTCCAATCATATCTGAGCTTCATTCTGATGCCACAGCTGTGTGGCCAATCAAGTTATCTTTAATTCAATWTGCAGCTTTGGAAATGGGAAAAAAGTAAAAATGGTTAWAGTGTATTTTAACTTCAATAACTAAATACGAGTTATAGTTACAAAAATKATGACTGCTGTAGTTATAAATTCAGAGGGATAGCTTTAAATGGAGACTAAGTTTGTGAATTTACTCCAAAGGGTTTAAGTTCAAGAGCAGTACTTCATTTAGGRTTAGGCCTGCAGGTTAAAGGCTTTATCTTTCTCCTCAGACTCAATGATTTATTAAAGTTAAATTATGAGCTGAAATGATCAAACAAGATCTGATGATGAAATGATGTAGATTACTGTCATCTACTAAAAGGTAAAATATTCTGGTTTGAAAAGAACAATATTAATTTTGATAAAGATGTATTACCCTCAGCTGAATTTGAACATCAGTCGTCCATTATCGTATTCCGTGTTTTTTTTTTTTTTTTTTTTTTTTGTGGTTATTTATCTTTTCTTGGTGCTATCTGGGCTCTTCTGAGTTTTTGCTGCCATGTTCAGGATTTCCTTCAATGGGAGCATGCTCCCTTGGAAAAGTTCGTRAAGTCTGAGTCAGCTGGTGATTTTTGGGGCCAGTTTGAGTAATTTTTACAGTGTAATGATCTGTCCTTCAAAAATACCTGCTTAGAGACAAAAAAACTATTTTTTTAATAAGTGAAACAAGTACGTTGGGAAAAAGAGACTGCATTATTCCATTCACTCACTTTGTCTCACTGCCACGCCAGAATGAAAACTTTTCAAGTGTCCAACATCAGTTAGAGCACAAAGAAGAAAAAAAGTCAAACGTCTTTATGGAGTCAAGGCTAATGGTTAGCTAAACAAGGGCACACTTAAAAAGCATTTTTGGGTTTTTAAATCAACTCTCTCAAAAACAAACTGAGTGAAATTATAGAGGTTAAAGATTAGCTACTTTAGCTGGTTCTAAGCCTCTGATTTAGTTTGTTGCCTGTTGCCGTTTTCTCAACCAAATATTTGTTTTACTACAAATGTACTACGTAATTTACTATGAATGTAATAGTTCTCAGGCAGGAAAAAACCCATGTCGCAGGCAGATAAAAGGCTCCAAAAAACAAAGTGTTTATTAAACAAAAGGTGCTGACTGGGCAGCTCAAAAAAACTCAGGACGTGGCAAGGCAAGACTAGGCAAAGAACGAACTACAACATAACCAAACAAATAATGACTCGACAGGGAAGTGAAGACAAGAGACAGAATATAAAGGTGAAACTAATGAGCACAAACAGGGAACACCTGGGGGAGAAACATGAGGATCAGGTGTGAGTGGGCGGGGCAGGAGCAAGGGCAGACAGGAGGAAGAAAACAGAACATGACAGAAACAAAAACACTAACACAGACAAGAATCATAACATAGCCCCCCCAATAAGGGACGGCTCCTGACGTCCCACAAAAGTTCAGGAGGCCGGCCATGAACCTCCCTGCCGCAGAGGAGCCAGAGGGAGGAGGCAAGAGCAGACRTGGAGCTGAGGGAGGAGGAGATGAGGAGCCGGCGGAGGTTGATGGAGCCGGAGCCTCAGCGAAGGCGAACACAGGCAACAGAGGGGACGAGGAGGCGACGGCAGCCGAACCAGGCGACGTGGAGGCGACGGCAGCCGAACCAGGCGACGTGGAGGCGACGGCAGCCGAACCAGGCGACGTGGAGGCGACGGCAGCCGAATCAGGATCCTCAGGAACAGAGGACTCAGCTGGAGGCTCTACAAGAGCTGGAGGGCCCACAGGAACCAGAGCCAAAGCAGGAGAACCCCAGGAACCAGAGCCAAAGCAGGAGAACCCACAGGAACCAGAGCCAAAGCAGGAGAACCCACAGGAACCAGAGCCAAAGCAGGAGAACCCACAGGAACCAGAGCCGGAGGG